CCATTAAGACAAAAAAAGCGCGGCAAGAAAGGGGGAAAGCTCCCCAAACAGGGCCCCTATATTCCCATTAAGACAAAAAAAACGCGGCAAGAAAGGGGGAGAGCCCGCAAACAGGGCCCCTATATTCCCATTAAGACAAAAAAAACGCGGCAAGAAAGGGGGGAAAGCTCCCCAAACAGGGCCCCTATATTCCCATTAAGACAAAACAACCGCGGCAACAAAAGGGGGAAAGCTCCCCAAACAGGGCCCCTATATTCCCATTAAGACAAAAAAACCACAGCAAAAAAGGGGGAAAGCTCCCCAAACAGGGCCCCTATATTCCCATTAAGACAAAAAAACGCGGCAACAGAAGGGGGGAAAGCTCCCCAAACAGGGCCCCTATATTCCCATTAAGACAAAAAAACCGCGGCAAAAAAGGGGGGAAAGCTCCCCAAACAGGGCCCCTATATTCCCATTAAGACAAAAAAACCGCGGCAACAAAGGGGGGAAAGCTCCCCAAACAGGGCCCCTATATTCCCATTAAGACAAAAAAAACCGCGGCAAAAAGGGGGGAAAGCTCCCCAAACAGGGCCCCTATATTCCCATTAAGACAAAAAAACCGCGGCAACAAAAGGGGGGAAAGCTCCCCCAAAGGGGGCCCCTATATTCCCATTAAGACAAAAAAACCGCGGCAAAAAAGGGGGGAAAGCTCCCCAAACAGGGCCCCTATATTCCCATTGAGACAAAAACACCGCGGCAACAAAAGGGGGGAAAGCTCCCCAAACAGGGCCCCTATATTCCCATTAAGACACAAAAACCGCGGCAACAAAAGGGGGGAAAGCTCCCCAAACAGGGCCCCTATATTCCCATTAAAAACCGCGGCAAAAAAGGGGGGAAAGCTCCCCAAACAGGGCCCCTATATTCCCATTAAGACAAAAAAAACCGCGGCAACAAAAGGGAAAGCTCCCCAAACAGGGCCCCTATATTCTTATTAAGACAAAAAAACCGCGGCAACAAAAGGGGGGAAAGCTTCCCAAACAGGGCCCCTATATTCCCATTAAGACAAAAAAACGCGGCAACAAAAGGGGGGAAAGCTCCCCCAAAGGGGGCCCCTATATTCCCATTAAGACAAAAAAACCGCGGCAACAAAAGGGGGGAAAGCTCCCCAAACAGGGCCCCTATATTCCCATTAAGACAAAAAAAACGCGGCAAACAAGGGGGGAAAGCTCCCCAAACAGGGCCCCTATATTCCCATTAAGACAAAAACACCGCGGCAACAAAAGGGGGGAAAGCTCCCCAAACAGGGCCCCTATATTCCCATTAAGACAAAAAAACCGCGGCAACAAAAGGGGGAAAAGCTCCCCAAACATGGCCCCTATATTCCCATTAAGACAAAAAAACGCGGCAACAAAAGGGGGGAAAGCTCCCCAAACAGGCCCCTATATTCCCATTAAGACAAAAAAACCGCGGCAACAAAAGGGGAGAAAGCTCCCCAAACAGGGCCCCTATATTCCCACTAAGACAAAAAAACGCGGCAAGAAAAGGGGGGAAAGCTCCCCAAACAGGGCCCCTATATTCCCATTAAGACAAAAAAAGCCGCGGCAACAAAAGGGGGGAAAGCTCCCCAAACAGGGCCCCTATATTCCCATTAAGACAAAAAAAACGCGGCAAAAAAGGGGGGAAAGCTCCCCAAAGGGCCCCTATATTCCCACTAAGACAAAAAAACCGCGGCAACAAAAGGGGGGAAAGCTCCCCAAACAGGGCCCCTATATTCCCATTAAGACACAAAAAAAAAGCGGCAAAAAAGGGGGGAAAGCTCCCCAAACAGGGCCCCTATATTCCCATTAAGACCAAGAAACCGCGGCAACAAAAGGGGGGAAAGCTCCCCAAACAGGGCCCCTATATTCCCATTAAGACAAAAAACCGCGGCAACAAAAGGGGGGAAAGCTCCCCAAACAGGGCCCCTATATTTCCATTAAGACAAAAAAAAACGCGGCAAAAAAGGGGGGAAAGCTCCCCAAACAGGGCCCCTATATTCCCATTAAGACAAAAAGACCGCGGCAACAAAAGGGGGGAAAGCTCCCCAAACAGGGCCCCTATATTCCCATTAAGACAAAAAAACCGCGGCAAGAAAGGGGGGAAAGCTCCCCAAACAGGGCCCCTATATTCCCATTAAGACAAAAAAACCGCGGCAACAAAAGGGGGGAAAGCTCCCCAAACAGGGCCCCTATATTCCCATTAAGACAAAAAAACCGCGGCAACAAAGGGGGGAAAGCTCCCCAAACAGGGCC